GTGAGCAACAGGCGAAATGAGGCCCGTGTTTCTCTGTCCAGAGGTTTATCCACGACAAGTTCTGGAAACTTGCTGCCGTCACTCTTAGTCTGCACATTCAGTGTAAAAAAGTCATTTGTAGCCACATGGTAAGTGCGTAAGGAGTTGGTGCCCACGTCTGGATCGTGTGCGCTTTCTAAGCGGAACCGCGTGCCCGGCGCGGCCGCCTCCGATACCTCCAGGGAAATGTTGCTGGTTGAAAACTGCGGCGCGTTGTCGTTCACGTCCAGGATGTCCACCATGACGCGGTGGATCTCCAGTGGCTCCTCCAGCATAATTTGAATTTGTTGCGAGCATGTTGAACTCAGCTCGCACAGTTGCTCCCTGTCGATTTTTTGTTTAATAATTAAATCACCAGTTGCCTGTTTCACCTCGAAATACTCCACCGCCGACTCGGAGACCACCCGTAACTTCCTCTGGACGATTCTCTGAGCCGTGTAGCTCAGATCTTTCGCGATGTTTCCGACCACCGAGCCCGGACTTAGTTCCTCTGATACGGAATATCTGAGCTCAGCGGACGCTGAGCACACGCAGGCTAGATAGAGGTAAATCCTCCACAGCGTCCCTCCTCCGGAGCGCTTCCTCTGCCTGGAGTCCATTGTGCTGCGCTCCCAGGATCGGGAAACTTTCTAACTTCTTTCACCGTCACGTATCCATAGCGAAGTGTTAAAACGAGCCTACACGGCTCGATGTAAACATTTCCACTCTAAAAGCAAAGCGATGGAAAGCTTTGATATGGTCATGGCTGCCGACGTTAAACAGAAAGAGAGAGAGAGAGAAAAGAAAATCACGGAGAAAACTCAAAAGTTGTCCCTGGCTCCACTAAAACTCTGCTCTGTCTCCTCCGCCTCACTCTCTCCGTGGGCGGGGAGAGACCACAGAAGCCTGCCCTCTCATTGGAAGACAAAGCTGGAGCAGCGCTGTCACACTTCCAACACCCTCACCAAACTTTACAGTGACTTCTCCTTCACAGGCGAGTAGAAAACAAAACTTTAAAGTTTCAGGAAGATGGAACAGAAAGGAAAACGCAGCAAGGATATGCAAAGGTACACTTTGCACAACAATGGGCATTTAAGTAAATGAAGGACATTTACCTCCTGTCAGATTTGTCTCAGCGCCGTCAAACTAATGTCAAACAAATGAAACAGAAAGCTGCGCGCTCTGCTTCCGCGTGGGGGCGTAGTTTCCCCCCCAAAAACTTTTTGATTGACAATAACTTTCCTTTTTATCCGGACTTAATCAGGATCATGTGAAAAAAAGCAGCAAAGCTCATTCTTAAAATTATTATTTTAAAATGCCAGTTTAAGTTTGTGAGAACGACAACTGAAAAGCAAAATATAAATGAAGTGAACAGTATTTAGCAATTGTATCTCATAGAATCCGATTACTTTAAATGAGGAAAAGAGAAGAAAAACTAAAAATATATAACAATTTGGATTAATGTATTCAAAACTTGATCGAGTCAGAATTATTAAAATGGGAAAAGTAGAAACAACAATGAAAGAATATCTTTTTTAAAAACATTTGCTCTAAAATATGCAATTAGAGTGACACATTGTGTGGTGTTAATTCATTTTTATGTATTATTTGTGGGGATTATTATAAATTTCACTCTAGGTAAAATGTTTTTAGATTATATTTTAATTTAAGCCATTTCCTCAAAAATAGACTAAACAGAACTTAAAGTAAAATCCATGACGCGTAATCTCAAAATGAGCACTACGGAACAGAATATAAAAAAATACCCGGAAGCGAGCCAGTACACTGTAAACTATAGTTGCTCTTTATTTTCGCTCACCTGCTGACTCTCAAAGGTCCAGGTGCTGTCGGGTAAAGACGCGTCCAGAACACTGATAACTTCTTTAAAGTCTGTGGTGCTGCTGGGTTTGATCAATGTGAAATCACTGTACTCTGACATGGGAGACATGCAGGACCTGAAGGACTGACTCTGAGACATCATGTCTCCTCCCAGGACCTCCACGTATTTTATAGGTCCATCAGTGTTGAGCTGAATCTGCAGGTTTCTGTTGGGGTTCTTGTAATCATCACAGTCGCTCCTTCTCATGCAGCAGCTCCCGCTGCTTCTGCTGCCCCTGATGCATTTCACCGCCAGGATGAGAAAAGTCACCAGAGACAGCACGGACACTGAGGCCAGAGACAGAATCAAATACAGGGTGATTCTGCCGGTTTTCTTGCTGGGCTCGGACATTTTGTGTCGGAGGTCTAAAATGGGTTCATGGAGACCGTCCTCCAGCAGGATGGACACCGTGGCGGTGGCGGACTGAACCGGTTGCCCGTCGTCCTTGATCTCTATCAGCAGCCTCTGAGAGGAGTCGTCCTGCTCGTACACAGCGCGTTTAGTCCTCACCTCTCCTGTGTACTGATTGACGGTGAACAGAGAGGCGTCTGTGGCCTCCGCCAGTCTATACGAGACCCAGGCGTTATGGCCTGAGTCAGCGTCCACGGCCGTTACCTTGGTGACCAGGTGACCCGCTTTAGAGGAGCGGGGCATCCTCTGGTGAGAGAGGGAGCCCAGGGCAGCGGAGGAGGGTAAATAACAGCGGGGTATTATCGTTCTGGTCCAGGATGAAAACATGGACAGTGGCGTTGCTGCTGAGAGACGGAGAGCCCTGATCCTTTGCTTGGACCTGAATCTGAAACACTTTCAGCTTCTCATAGTCAAACGAGTGCATGCTGTAGATGCTCCCGTTATCTGAGTTAATGTAAACATAAGACGAGACAGAGACGTCCTGAACTTTAGAGTCCAGAATGGAGTAAGAGATCTTTGCGTTTTCACCAGAATCCAGATCAGATGCTGATACTGAGTGAAGTATAGATCCCGGTAATCTATTCTCTTTGACATACACGTTATATGAGGCCTGACTGAAAGTAGGAGGGTTGTCATTTACGTCAGTGATGCTGACATGAATAGTTTTTGTACTGGACAGTTGTGGCGAACCTGAGTCAGTGGCTGTTATCTCAATATTATACTCAGAGGCGCTCTCTCTGTCCAAAGTACCGCTGGTAACCAGAGCATAATTATTAGAAAACGAAGGCTTCAGATTAAAAGGGGGACCTTTGGCGAGATGTAGAGTTACTTTACCGTTACCACCGGAGTCAAGGTCTTTTGCGCTTATCAAAGCAACTACAGTACCACCTGGCGCGTCTTCGCGCACAGGTTTCGGCTGAGACGTAAAAACGATTTCAGGGGCGTTATCATTAACATCAGTGACGTCTACCTGGACACGACAGTGGCCTTCCATTTGAGGACTGCCTTTGTCCTTTGCGATGACATCAATGTCATATGACCTAACCGCCTCATAGTCTAAATCCCCTTTAAGAGTTATTTCACCTGTTAGAGGGTGAATATCAAAGACTGACAGCACAGACGGCGGTGTACGAGGCCCAAATGAAAATTCAACTTCACCGTTTGAGCCTTCGTCTGCGTCCGTCGCTTTGGGTTTAATTATAACTATTCCCTTCAAACTGTTTTCCCCCAAAGATACTTTGTACAAGTTTTTCTCAAACACCGGAAAATTATCATTAATATCGAGAACAGTTATGGTTATTTGTGTCGTCCCAGACCTTACAGGATTTCCTCCGTCTAACGCTGTCAGCAATATTTTGTGAACAGACGTTTTCTCGCGGTCAAGAGTTTTTTCCAAAAAGAGTTCCGGGGCAGCCTTGCCCCCCTCAATCTCTTTTATCTTCAGGGAGAAGCAGTCGTTTTTACTGAGCGTATACGATTTAAGCGAATTGCTCCCAACATCAGGGTCCCCTGCGCTCTCTAAAGGAAAGCGCGTGCCAACAGCCGCCGATTCGGCTATATACAAAGAAATTTCGTTTGAAAGGAAATTTGGAGAATTGTCATTAATATCTCTTATTTCAACTTCAATTCGATGTAGCTGCAGAGGATCCTCGACCACAACCTGCAGAGGCAATATGCAGCTGGCGCTTTGTCCACATAAAGCCTCTCTGTCTATTCTGTCATTCACCACTAACTCGCCCTTCCCCACATCCACGCTGAAATGCTGCCCACCAGCCTCGGAGGGGACACGGAGTTTACGCTCGGAAATGTCCGACAATCCCAAACCCAGATCTTTTGCGAGATTTCCAACCACAGAGCCCCGTTTCAGCTCCTCTTGGATGCTGTAACGAGTCTGTCCATGTACTGTATTCCACAGAAGAAAGAAATGATGCCACCAAAGCGCCTGCCATCTCCAGTCTCGGTGTTCTTTCCTCTTTGTCATCCTAATTCTGCAAACGAACCTGTTTCCATTCCATAGAAGCGCAGATCAGAGGGGAAAAAAAGGAATATCCGAAGAGTGCAACATATCCAGTCGGAAAGAGAGCTATTTCTGGTCAAACATTAAATACAGACATGATGCTAATCTCTAAATATATGAATTATTTGCTGACTGTCCTCCCACTCTGAGCGTTGTGGTGGCTGAAGCTGCAGAGGGGAGGGACTAGATCTCTTTTTACAGTGATGAATTCTATTGGTTCACAGCATCCACCACTGATTTCCAATCAGAGAAACACTGGTAAAGACACATCTACCTCCTTTATTGATGCATGATAAGACATCAAAGAAACAGCAAAGTGAGATATTTTAATTTATATCAGGCAATATGAAATAAAAATCACAACTATTACTCAGGATTGTAAATATATTTTGTACAATTAAGTTGTATTTTACTTATGATAAAATTAAACATTTTGTTAATCAATTTATTGTTCTTTTTTGAAAGAGTTAAATAAAAATGGTCTGAGTTAATATTTAGTGGATCCTCTACACTTCATGAGATTACGCTCGCTGTCCAGCAGTGTAGTGCTGAAAAGCTCCGCTCTGAACTGCACTCAACATTAGACTTTTAAAAGGACTTGTTTAAACCTGACATGTTATTTTTCAGGCTGTAAAAAGAAACAATAGTCAGCGGAGCACAGATAAGGCAAATCAGCAGAAAGCAACTGCAAGATTAGTAAAGTGTTTTTGTTAAGATATATATAACTTTTACACAATTTGTTTAATGTTGATGTAAATCTATCTAAATGAACATTAACGTGACTCTATGCTCACCTGCTGACTCTCAAAGGTCCAGGTGCTGTCGGGTAAAGACGCGTCCAGAACACTGATAACTTCTTTAAAGTCTGTGGTGCTGCTGGGTTTGATCAATGTGAAATCACTGTACTCTGACATGGGAGACATGCAGGACCTGAACGACTGACTCTGAGACATCATGTCTCCTCCCAGGACCTCCACGTATTTTATAGGTCCATCAGTGTTGAGCTGAATCTGCAGGTTTCTGTTGGGGTTCTTGTAATCATCACAGTCGCTCCTTCTCATGCAGCAGCTCCCGCTGCTTCTGCTGCCCCTGATGCATTTCACCGCCAGGATGAGAAAAGTCACCAGAGACAGCACGGACACTGAGGCCAGAGACAGAATCAAATAAAGGGTGATTCTGCCGGTTTTCTTGCTGGGCTCGGACATTTTGTGTCGGAGGTCTAAAATGGGTTCATGGAGACCGTCCTCCAGCAGGATGGACACCGTGGCGGTGGCGGACTGAACCGGTTGCCCGTCGTCCTTGATCTCTATCAGCAGCCTCTGAGAGGAGTCGTCCTGCTCGTACACAGCGCGTTTAGTCCTCACCTCTCCTGTGTACTGATTGACGGTGAACAGAGAGGCGTCTGTGGCCTCCGCCAGTCTATACGAGACCCAGGCGTTATGGCCCGAGTCAGCGTCCACGGCCGTTACCTTGGTGACCAGGTGACCCGCTTTGGCGGAGCGGGGCATCCTCTGATGAGAGAGGGAGCCCAGGGCAGCGGAGCAGGGGTAAATAACAGCGGGGGTATTATCGTTCTGGTCCAGGATGAAAACATGGACAGTGGCGTTGCTACTGAGAGACGGAGAGCCCTGATCCTTTGCTTGGACCTGAATCTGAAACACTTTCAGCTTCTCATAGTCAAACGAGTGCATGCTGTAGATGCTCCCGTTATCTGAGTTAATGTAAACATAAGACGAGACAGAGACGTCCTGCACTTTAGAGTCTAGAATGGAGTAAGAGATCTTTGCGTTTTCACCAGAATCCAAATCAGATGCTGACACTGAGTGAAGTATAGATCCCGGTAATCTATTCTCTTTGACATACACGTTATATGAGGCCTGACTGAAAGTAGGAGGGTTGTCATTTACATCAGTGATGCTGACATGAATCGTTTTCTTACTTGACAGAGGCGGGGAACCCGAATCACTCGCTGTTATCTCAATATTATATTCTGGAGATTTTTCTCGGTCTAAAACACCAGCAGTAATCAGGGCGTAATTGTTTGAGAAAGAAGCTTTCAAACTGAAAGGAGATCCAGGGGCAAGTTTTAATGCTACATTGCCATTATTGCCTGAATCGAGATCACGTGCACTTATTAAAGCCACCACTGTACCTTTCGGTGCGTCCTCTCGTACAGGGCTGGGCTTGGAAGTTAATATTATTTCTGGTACATTATCATTGACGTCTATTACAACTATTTGTAGGCGACAGTGACCCTCCATTTCTGGAAGTCCTTTGTCCTTTGCTGTGATACTTATTTCAATCTTGTTACTGCTCTCGTAATCTAACGCGTTCAATAAAATAATTTCGCCTGTGTCTGAATTCATCTTAAAAATGGATAGCAGTGACTGCGCTGTACTGTCAGCGAATCTGTACTCGATCTCTGCATTCACTCCCTCGTCTTCATCCGTGGCTTCAACTTGAGCAAGCACGGAACCAACGGCGCTATTTTCAGGCACGGAAATGTTATACAACGTCCTTTTAAACACCGGGACGTTGTCGTTGTTGTCCAACACGGTCACAATGATATTTGTGGTTCCAGTTTTCACAGGGCTGCCTCCGTCTAACGCCGTCAGTAACAACTGATGCACGCTCTGTTTCTCCCGGTCGAGCGGTTTCTCCAGCACGAGCTCAGGAACATGTCGGTCACCGGGCAGCTCCTTCATTTTCAAGCTGAAACATTCGCTTTTGCTTAATGTGTACGACTTTACCGAATTACTCCCAAAATCCTGATCCCGTGCGGTGTCCAGAGGAAAGCGTATACCAGCAGCGGTGGATTCGGCTATCTTTAGATGCCGCTCTTCTTTGACAAAAACCGGAGAGTCGTCATTTATGTCCTTCACTTCCACCTCTATCCGGTACAGCTGCAGGGGATTCTCTGTCACAACTTGCAGAGACAGAACACAGCTGGCGCTTTGTCCACATAAAGCCTCTCTGTCTATTCTGTCAGTCACCACTAGCTCGCCCTTCCCCGCGTCCACGCCGAAGTACTGCTCGCCAGCCTCAGAGGCGACCCGCAGCTTACGGTCCAAAATGTCTGCTAATCCCAAACCGAGGTCTTTTGCGAGATTTCCAACCACAGAACCCCGTTTCACTTCCTCCGGGATGCTGTATCGAGTCTGTCCTTCGATTGTAATCCTCAACAGAACGAAATGACACCACCAAAGCCCGAGCCATTTCCACTCTCGATATCTCATTCTCTTTGTCATCCTCGGTTAGCTGCCCGGTCGCTACAATGATGTATTTCCCATGAAGATATTTATCCACGTAATCCTGACTTTGAAGTCATCATTAATACGGAAATTCTTCGACAATTAGATCAATTATGACGAACAGAGCACATGATAAAGGCGCCATGTACTAAACGCATCTCCTCTCCGGCGCTGAGCACAGTGAGGGATGCTGTGAGGAGAGCGAGTGGGGGAAGGACTAGATCTCTTTGTACCATTCTGTGAGCTATTGGCCTCCATCTTCCAGCCCATCAGTCCAATCACAAGAAACCAAGCATGCCTACAAGGCTACCGCAGGAATCACAGCAGGCGCAACATCACATGCAAATAAATACATAAAGTAGTAAATAAATGAACACTGAATCTGCAATTATTAAAAGCTATTTTCATTTAAAAGGTTTTGATCCAAAGAATGTTTTTTTTTCTTTTTTATCCCTGTCTTCTTTCTTGTTTTGTTTTACAAATACATATTGTACTGCAAAAATTCAACAACAATGAGCTACACAACAACAACAACAACAAAAGCTTCTTCAAGCTTACGAGACAATAAAAAGTTAAATAAAATTTTCTACTGATTATTATCAAACGTTTGACAGTCATGTGTGCCTTTGATCCAATTAGTTTTATGGACTTTGGTGAATTTCAATGTGTTTAGGCTTTAAATTGAAGGGCTGATTGAAACAAGGGTAACTTTGGCACTGCAAAACTTTGCAGGTCCTAATGGACATTTCTAATTTATTTATAAAAAGCCCTTAAATATACTGAAACAATCGACTTTGCTTTAGTGAAAATAAATAACTGTTATTTAATTTTTTTAAAATATTCATTCATTTATTGTTTCTTAAGGAAAGACCTCCAAACAATGACAATTCCCGTGCTCCAGCCGTCTTAGTGACATAATGGCGCTGTCCAGCTCAGTAGTGCTGAAACTCTGAAACACAGTTAAAACTTAACATTTAGCTGCAACAGATGGAAAGAAACAGGAAGAATAAGATGGATGAATAAGTGCTTAATCTACCTCTGCAATACAGTCTATTTTAATGCCTACTTGAGACACATTGTCCAATAGAGAAAATAAAGTTATCTTCAACCTTGTAAGTTTAAAGAAAAAGAAAAGATCTGAAAAAATCCTTTAGTTTTCTGTGAACAAATGAACGAATCACGCTTTGATTTTTATGCTAGTTAAACATATAGTAAAAATACAGTAGAAATGTTTATTTAAAACTGATTAATTTTTTGCTCACCTGCTGACTCTCAAAGGTCCAAGTGCTGTCGGGTAAAGACGCGTCCAGAACACTGATAACTTCTTTAAAGTCTGTGGTGCTGCTGGGTTTGATCAACGTGAAATCACTGTACTCTGACATGGGAGACATGCAGGACCTGAAGGACTGACTCTGAGACATCATATCTCCTCCCAGGACCTCCACGTATTTTATAGGTCCATCAGTGTTGAGCTGAATCTGCAGGTTTCTGTTGGGGTTCTTGTAATCATCACAGTCGCTCCTTCTCATGCAGCTCCCGCTGCTTCTGCTGCCCCTGATGCATTTCACCGCCAGGATGAGAAAAGTCACCAGAGACAGCACGGACACTGAGGCCAGAGACAGAATCAAATAAAGGGTGATTCTGCCGGTTTTCTTGCTGGGCTCGGACATTTTGTGTCGGAGGTCTAAAATGGGTTCATGGAGACCGTCCTCCAGCAGGATGGACACCGTGGCGGTGGCGGACTGAACCGGTTGCCCGTCGTCCTTGATCTCTATCAGCAGCCTCTGAGAGGAGTCGTCCTGCTCGTACACAGCGCGTTTAGTCCTCACCTCTCCTGTGTACTGATTGACGGTGAACAGAGAGGCGTCTGTGGCCTCCGCCAGTCTATACGAGACCCAGGCGTTATGGCCCGAGTCAGCGTCCACGGCCGTTACCTTGGTGACCAGGTGACCCGCTTTAGCGGAGCGGGGCATCCTCTGGTGAGAGAGGGAGCCCAGGGCAGCGGAGGAGGGGTAAATAACAGCGGGGGTATTATCGTTCTGGTCCAGGATGAAAACATGGACAGTGGCGTTGCTGCTGAGAGACGGAGAGCCCTGATCCTTTGCTTGGACCTGAATCTGAAACACTTTCAGCTTCTCATAGTCAAACGAGTGCATGCTGTAGATGCTCCCGTTTTCTGAGTTAATGTAAACATAAGACGAGACAGATACGTCCTGCACTTTAGAGTCCAGAATGGAGTAAGAGATCTTTGAGTTTTCACCAGAATCCAGATCAGATGCTGACACTGAATAAAGAATAGATCCCGGTGTTCCATTTTCTTTTAAATACACTGTATACGTTTGCTGCGTAAAAACAGGTGGATTGTCATTTACATCAGTAATATTAACCTTTATTGTCTTTTTACTGCTCATTGGTGGTGAACCTAAGTCAGTGGCGGTTATCTCAACTTCATAATCTGAGAATTTTTCTCTGTCTAAAGGACCATTTGTAATCAAAGCATAGTTATCAGAAAATGACGCTTTTAGTTTAAAAGGAACGTTTTTATTTAGATGTAGTATTACTTTACCATTATCTCCAGAATCAACGTCTCTTGCGCTAATTAAAGCCACTACAGTACCACTCGGTGAATTCTCGGGCACAGAGTTTGGTTGAGAGGTCAGAAATATATTTGGAGGATTATCGTTAACGTCTAAGACGTCGACGTGGACAGTGCAATGCCCCTCCATTCTCGGACTGCCTTTATCTGTAGCGGAAATGTCTATCTCATAATTAGAGTTGGTTTCAAAATCTAAATGACCAATCAGGCGTATTTCCCCGGTTAATGGATCGACATCAAAAACAGATCTGACGTTATCTGGTGTGTGCGCACCAAAAGCAAATTCAACCTCTCCGTTAAGACCTTCATCGGCATCTTTCGCAGCCAGTGTAAGAACTGGAGCCCCTTTCAGCGCGTTTTCACCTATGGAGACTTTGTATATGCTTTTCTCAAATGCAGGAAAATTGTCGTTAATATCAAGGACATTAATTGTTATTTGACAGGTCCCAGACCTTACTGGATTTCCCCCATCCACTGCAGTGAGGGTCAATGTGTGTGTGGGTTTTTTCTCTCTGTCAATAGATTTAGCCAGCGCTAACTCAGGAACTCTCTTTCCACCGGACACTTCCTTAATTTTCAAACTAAAGAACTCGTCTTTACTCAAAGTGTACGATCTCACCGAGTTAACGCCAACGTCAAGATCTTGAGCCGTTTCCAGCGGAAAATGTGTTCCTGCCGCTGCCGACTCAGCTATTTGCAATATTTTTTCCGTCGACGGGAACGTGGGATAATTATCATTCACATCTTGTATTTCCACTTCTACTCGGTACAGCTGTAAAGGCGTGTCAATCACAATTTGCAGAGTTAAAACACAGCTGGCGCTTTGTCCACATAAAGCCTCTCTGTCTATTCTGTCATTCACCACCAGCTCGCCCTTCCCCGCGTCCACGCTGAAGTACTGCTCGCCAGCCTCAGAGGCGACCCGCAGCTTACGGTCGAAAATCTCAGATAATGACAAACCCAAATCTTTGGCGAGATTTCCGACCACAGAACCCGGTTTTAGTTCCTCCGGGATGCTGTAGCGAGTCTGTGCTTCTATTGTAGTCCACAGGAGGAAGAATCGCTGCCACCAAGCTGCTTTCCATCTCCAGCCTCGATTTCCCATTGTCTTTGTCATCCAGGATCCTCAAGAATTATTTTCCAGTGAAATAGTCAGGAATGAAAAATATCAGTGTCGTCCATGGCAGTGAAGAATCGATCAAACGAAAGATTCCAAAATCACAACTGAAAAACATGCGTATATTTTTTGTTTGCTTTAGCTGTGTTAGTAGCATCGCTCCGTTTCGTCCATCTGCTTGCAGAGGTAGAGATTGTGACTGTGTGGCTGCAGGGGGGAGGGACTAGATCTCTTTGTAAAGATCTGCGTTTCATTGGTGCTCAACATCCATTTCTGCCAGCCATTAAGAGAGTGACAATTTCACATAAAGACACAGATGAGATGAAGAGGATTAAATTCAAAGTAGAATTCAGTTTACTCAAAGACTGAGACTAAAATTATACCGACACTTATGTAATGACAAAAGTATAGACATATAGAAATTTGTGATTTACAAAAATAGAAAGATTTATAAATTATGTACCATATGAAGCTACCTCTCAATGCTATTTCAAATTACAAACCGGTTTTCAGCAGCTTCGACCTCTTACCAGACATCTTGTTGGAGTTGTCGCTGTTCAAGACTGAGGTGCTGAACAGCGACAACTTGAACTGAGAAGGTAAAATTCATACAACATAAGAAACAGATGAAGTGGAATGAAGAAATCGCAATTTGGAATATACTGTGCGAAAGCATTTGCTGTATGGCAAATGAAACAGCTACAAGATTAGGCAATAACGGAACACATAAAAATAAACGTCAAAATAGGTCAGTTATAGCTTGTACTCCTTCAGTATTTCAAAGACAAATAAAGTAGAATAAATGCATAAAACATATGTTTCAATAAATAAAGATCGCTGCTCTATTAGCTCACCTGCTGACTCTCAAAGGTCCAAGTGCTGTCGGGTAAAGACGCGTCCAGAACACTGATAACTTCTTTAAAGTCTGTGGTGCTGCTGGGTTTGATCAATGTGAAATCACTGCACTCTGACATGGGAGACATGCAGGACCTGAACGACTGACTCTGAGACATCATGTCTCCTCCCAGGACCTCCACGTATTTTATAGGTCCATCAGTGTTGAGCTGAATCTGCAGGTTTCTGTTGGGGTTCTTGTAATCATCACAGTCGCTCCTTCTCATGCAGCAGCTCCCGCTGCTTCTGCTGCCCCTGATGCATTTCACCGCCAGGATGAGAAAAGTCACCAGAGACAGCACGGACACTGAGGCCAGAGACAGAATCAAATAAAGAGTGATTCTGCCGGTTTTCTTGCTGGGCTCGGACATTTTGTGTCGGAGGTCTAAAATGGGTTCATGGAGACCGTCCTCCAGCAGGATGGACACCGTGGCGGTGGCGGACTGAACCGGTTGCCCGTCGTCCTTGATCTCTATCAGCAGCCTCTGAGAGGAGTCGTCCTGCTCGTACACAGCGCGTTTAGTCCTCACCTCTCCTGTGTACTGATTGACGGTGAACAGAGAGGCGTCTGTGGCCTCCGCCAGTCTATACGAGACCCAGGCGTTATGGCCCGAGTCAGCGTCCACGGCCGTTACCTTGGTAACCAGGTGACCCGCTTTAGCGGAGCGGGGCATCCTCTGGTGAGAGAGGGAGCCCAGGGCAGCGGAGGAGGGGTAAATAACAGCGGGGGTATTATCGTTCTGGTCCAGGATGAAAACATGGACAGTGGCGTTGCTGCTGAGAGACGGAGAGCCCTGATCCTTTGCTTGGACCTGAATCTGAAACACTTTCAGCTTCTCATAGTCAAACGAGTGCATGCTGTAGATGCTCCCGTTATCTGAGTTAATGTAAACATAAGACGAGACAGAGACGTCCTGCACTTTAGAGTCCAGTATGGAGTAAGAGATCTTTGCGTTTTCACCAGAATCCAAATCAGATGCTGATACTGAGTGAAGTATAGATCCCGGTAATCCATTCTCTTTTAAATACACATTATAGGAGGCCTGACTGAAAATCGGAGGATTGTCATTTACATCAGTGATCGTTACTGGTATAACTTTTTTACTAGAAAGTGGAGGAGAACCCGAATCACTGGCTGTTATCTCGATATTATATTCCGAGAATTTTTCTCTATCCAAAGGGCCGCTTGTAACCAGGGCATAATTATTAGAAAACGAAGGTTTAAGGGCAAATGGAAAGCCTTTATTTGACTGCAGTGTAACTTTGCTATTATTACCGGAGTCAGCGTCACGTGCATTAAGCAAAGCAACGACAGTGCCGCTTGGTGCGTCTTCCCGCACAGGCTGAGGTTCAGAGGTGAGAACAATTTCTGGTATATTGTCATTAATGTCTAAAACTTCAACCTGTAGTCGACAGTGGCTCTCCATTTCAGGAACTCCTTTGTCTTTTGCAGATATTTCTATTTTGTAGGACGTGGACTTTTCATAATCCAAATTTCCAGTTAAATAAATTTCACCAGTTAATGATTTTATTTCAAAAATAGATAACACGGACTCTGGGGTCCTCGGACCAAAAAAGAACTCTATTTCTCCGTTCGGTCCCTCATCAGCGTCAGTAGCAGTAATTTTAATCACAGAGGTATCCCTTTCAGTGTTTTCCGGTAAAGAAATTTTATAATTGTTTTTTTCGAATACTGGGAAATTGTCGTTTACATCAAGCACAGTTATTTTGATTAGCGATGTACCGGACAGGGCCGGACTCCCTCCGTCAAACGCAGTCAGTTTTAGTTCATGAACAGCTTTCTTCTCTCGATCAAGAGATTTTTCCAACACTAGTTCGGGGACTGCCCTGCCATCATCTACCTCCTTCATTTTTAGCGCAAAACAGTCGTTTCTTGACAAACTGTATGATTTTACTGAATTGCTTCCAACATCCAGATCCTCTGCATTCTCCAATGCGAAGCGAGTTCCCACCGCTGCTGATTCTGCAATTTTTATAGACAGTTCTTTTGCTTGAAACATCGGAGAATTATCATTAATATCTTTAATTTCCACATCAAGTCGGTGTAAATGTAAAGGGTTTTCAATAACAATTTGTAAAGGCAACACACAGCTGGCGCTTTGTCCGCATAAAGCCTCTCTGTCTATTCTGTCATTCACCACCAGCTCGCCCTTCCCCGCGTCCACGCTGAAGTACTGCTCGCCAGCCTCAGAGGCGACCCGCAGCTTACGGTCAAAAATCTCAGATAATGACAAACCCAAATCTTTGGCGAGATTTCCGACCACCGAGCCTTGTTTTAGTTCCTCCGGTATGCTGTAGCGAGTCTGTGCTTCTATTGTAGTCCACAAGATAAAGAGCTGATGCCACCAGAGCGCCTGCCATCTCCAGTCTTGGTATCCCATTTTCTTTGTCATCCCCGATGCGTTAGCTCGTAATATTTCCCATCATGAAAATTGTGGCACTTATCCAGTTCCAGGAAGATCCAAATAGAATCTTAAACAATCCAAAATCATATTCATTCATGCCTTCAAATGAAAATCAATCATTTTATTCTAAGGTCCGAGCTTTAAGCGCCTCACACCGCTATCTAACTCATTGCATCATGAACGTTTTGTGGTGCTGAAGCTGATGGAGGAGGGGATAGATCTCTTTGTACTTTCCTTGCCTGCAATTGGAGCACAGCCTGCTTCCCCGTCATCCAACGGGAAGCGATCTGAGCAGAGCTGTTAAAGATGCAGCAGCGGTTATGGGAGCAGATCTGTACGCAGTTGTACAGATTGAAGTTGTTTTAAATGTACTTAAATTTACTAATGGTTAAAAAATAACCAAATAATAAATAATTTTGCTATCATGATTTTAGAGACATAAACCAAGGTCAATATTTACTTGAATATACAATTAATTACATAATGAAGACTTTCACAACCTAGTGAAAAACATTTTATTTCATGGTTTAAAAAAGTGTCCATTTTTGAATACCATATTAACCTGTTTGACAAAATCTGCTTTTCATAACGAACCAAGTTGAGAACTGAGAACTGTCTTCCACAATACACTGCAAAAAAAGTAAATTAAAGCATACACAACTGGCAACAGAACGTAGCAAGCAACAATACCCGCTATTCATTTATTTCACTGAATTATTTAACTAATGTGATAATGCAATGCTTTGAGCTCACCTGCTGACTCTCAAAGGTCCAGGTGCTGTCGGGTAAAGACGCGTCCAGAACACTGATAACTTCTTTAAAGTCTGTGGTGCTGCTGGGTTTGATCAACGTGAAATCACTGTACTCTGACATGGGAGACATGCAGGACCTGAAGGACTGACTCTGAGACATCATGTCTCCTCCCAGGACCTCCACGTATTTTATAGGTCCATCAGTGTTGAGCTGAATCTGCAGGTTTCTGTTGGGGTTCTTGTAATCATCACAGTCGCTCCTTCTCATGCAGCAGCTCCCGCTGCTTCTGCTGCCCCTGATGCATTTCACCGCCAGGATGAGAAAAGTCACCAGAGACAGCACGGACACTGAGGCCAGAGACAGAATCAAATAAAGGGTGATTCTGCCGGTTTTCTTGCTGGGCTCGGACATTTTGTGTCGGAGGTCTAAAATGGGTTCATGGAGACCGTCCTCCAGCAGGATGGACACCGTGGCGGTGGCGGACTGAACCGGTTGCCCGTCGTCCTTGATCTCTATCAGCAGCCTCTGAGAGGAGTCGTCCTGCTCGTACACAGCGCGTTTAGTCCTCACCTCTCCTGTGTACTGATTGACGGTGAACAGAAGGCGTCTGTGGCCTCCGCCAGTCTATACGAGACCCAGGCGTTATGGCCCGAGTCAGCGTCCACGGCCGTTACCTTGGTGACCAGGTGACCCGCTTTAGCGGAGCGGGGCATCCTCTGGTGAGAGAGGGAGCCCAGGGCAGCGGAGGAGGGGTAAATAACAGCGGGGGTATTATCGTTCTGGTCCAGGATGAAAACATGGACAGTGGCGTTGCTACTGAGAGACGGAGAGCCCTGATCCTTTGCTTGGACCTGAATCTGAAACACTTCAGCTTCTCATAGTCAAACGAGTGCATGCTGTAGATGCTCCCGTTTTCTGAGTTAATGTAAACATAGAGACAGACGTCCTGAACTTTAGAGTCCAGTATGGAGTAAGAGATCTTTGCGTTTTCACCAGAATCCAAATCAGATGCTGATACTGAATAAAGTATTGAACCTGGAACCATATTTTCTTTTAGATATACATTATATGAAGGCTGACTGAAGAGAGGAGGATTGTCATTCACATCTGTGATGCTGACGGGGATAATCCTGGTACTGGAGAGAGGAGGAGATCCTGCATCTGTAGCTGTTATTTCGATGTTAAAGTCTGAGACGGTCTCTCTGTCTAAAGGGCCGTTTGTAATCATGGCGTAATTATTAGAAAAAGAAGGTTTTAGAGTAAAAGGTGAACCTTTCGGAATCTGAACCTTTACTTTACTGTTATCACCCGAATCAAGATCACGTACACTGAGTAAAGCCACCACTGTGCCGCTGTTCGAGTCTTCTGGCACTGATGTGGATTTAGAAGTGAGAATAATGTCGGGAGCGTTATCGTTTACGTCTAATACATCCACCTGCACAGTGCAGTGGCCCTCCATTTTAGGCAAACCTTTGTCTTTTGCACTAATATCTATTCTGTATGATGCCTTAGCTTCGAAGTCTAACGATTGTTTCAAATATATGTCTCCAGTGACAGAATCTATGTGAAATAAGGACAGAACTGATGGGGGCGTGTGCACGCCAAAAGAGTATTCAATTTCTCCATTTAGACCCTCATCTATGTCTGTTGCTTTGATAGAAATAACAAATGAACCGTTTGCACTATTTTCTTGAACAGCAATTTTATAAAAACTTTGTTCAAACTGCGGAACATTGTCATTAATATCAAGTACGTGAATGGTTATCTTTGAAATCCCGGTCTTAACGGGAGTCCCTCCGTCCATAGCGGTAAGAACTAAACTATGCGTCGCCCTTTTCTCCCGGTCTAATGATTTATTTAATACTAACTCTGAAATTTTTTTTCCATTTTCAATTTCCTTAACTTTTATCGTAAAGCATTCATCTTTGCTTAGCGTGTACGTTTTTAACCCGTTATTCCCAACATCCGGGTCCTCCGCCATCTCTAAGGGAAAATGAACACCTACAAGTCTGGACTCAGCTATTTCAATTACATGATCACTTTTGAGAAAAGTGGGAGCATTGTCATTTACGTCTCTTATTTCCACTTCTATCCTATGCAGCTGCAGCGGGTGTTCTACCACAACCTGCAGAGGTAACACACAGCTGGCGCTTTGTCCACATAGAGCCTCTCTGTCTATTCTATCATTCACCACCAGCTCGCCCTTCCCCGCGTCCACGCTGAAAAACTGCTTACCAGCCTCAGAGGCGACCCGCAGTTTACGATCAAAAATGTCTGATAATCCCAAGCCGAGATCTTTGGCAATATTACCAACCAGGGAGCCTCGTTCCAGCTCCTCTGGGATGTTGTAACGAGTTTGTCCGTGTATTATATTCCACAACAGCAAAAAATGATGCCACCAAAGCGCCTGCCATCTCCACTCCTGGCGTCCCATTCTCTTTGTCATCCTCGCTCTCTTAAAGCACATGAATTCCCATCGATGTCTTATAAAGTAAACGAACAGATGCTGAAATCCATTAATAGTGACACAGGCAAACTCCAGAGAAATCCAAATAGTAAACCCATTGTAAGATGCAAAGAAAAGATTACTTCTTTTCAGTTTTACTGTTGAAGTGCAACCTCGTCTCCGTTTATACTCAAAGCAGAACACTGGCTCCGGTGCTGAGAATAGATGGGGGAGGGAGTAGATCTCTTTGTACAAAACATGATGCTATTGGCACAGTGTGTGAGCAAACGACACCCAATGATATTAGAGAGGACGGAATAGACAAAACACAGCAATTTAAAATGATAAGATGCCCGAGTAACACAAATAAACGACTTGAAAAATGAAATAAATAAATGTAAGACTGAAATTTTATTTTTATTTTTTTACAATTTTTACTTTATCGTCTAATCTTGGGGTTTACTTCAAACCACAGATTATAATTCATAAAAATATATTCTATGTGACAAAAAGTACAGCAATTTAAAATAATTATTTTTCAGCACATAAAGATCATGTCCAGGAAACTTTGCGAAATATTGTTTTTAAATACTAGGTTAAAATAGTTGTATTTCTATTTTAAGAAAGCATCACGCACTGTAGGAAAAGATGCTACATGCTGTGAATAGCAGCACTATCATTATAAAGTGAAAAAATAATCAACTTAAGACAAACACTATGGGCTAAACAATAAAATAACCTGCATTGGTCCGTCATCATCTATTTTCAAACACATTCTTTGAAAAAAATATGAATAAACAAATTTACACTGCATTTTTTCGGGATTTTTTTAGACAAATTTATGAGAAAAAAAGAAAAAAGAGTTCAAAAACAGCAATAAAACAGAACAGATGACCGTATATTTTTGTTCTCGCTTAGCTCACCTGCTGACTCTCAAAGGTCCAGGTGCTGTCGGGTAAAGACGCGTCCAGAACACTGATAACTTCTTTAAAGTCTGTGGTGCTGCTGGGTTTGATCAACGTGAAATCACTGTACTCTGACATGGGAGACATGCAGGACCTGAAGGACTGACTCTGAGACATCATGTCTCCTCCCAGGACCTCCACGTATTTTATAGGTCCATCAGTGTTGAGCTGAATCTGCAGGTTTCTGTTGGGGTTCTTGTAATCATCACAGTCGCTCCTTCTCATGCAGCAGCTCCCGCTGCTTCTGCTGCCCCTGATGCATTTCACCGCCAGGATGAGAAAAGTCACCAGAGACAGCACGGACACTGAGGCCAGAGACAGAATCAAATAAAGGGTGCCGTTTTCTTGCTGGGCTCGGACATTTTCTGTCGGAGGTCTAACACGGGTTCATGGAGACCGTCCTCCAGCAGGATGCACACCCTGGCGCTGGCGGACTGAACCGGTTGCCCGTCGTCCTTGATCTCTATCAGCAGCCTCTGAGAGGAGTCGTCCTGCTCGTACACAGCGCGTTTAGTCCTCACCTCTCCTGTGTACTGATTGACGGTGAACAGAGAGGCGTCTGTGGCCTCCGCCAGTCTATACGAGACCCAGGCGTTATGGCCCGAGTCAGCGTCCACGGCCGTTACCTTGGTAACCAGGTGACCCGCTTTAGCGGAGCGGGGCATCCTCTGGTGAGAGAGGGAGCCCAGGGCAGAGGAGGAGGGGTAAATAACAGTGGGGGTATTATCGTTCTGGTCCAGGATAAAAACATGGACAGTGGCGTTGCTGCTGAGAGACGGAGAGCCCTGATCCTTTGCTTGGACCTGAATCTGAAACACTTTCAGCTTCTCATAGTCAAACGAGTGCATGCTGTAGATGCTCCCGTTTCTGAGTTAATGTAAACATAAGACGAGACAGAGACGTCCTGCACTTTAGAGTCTAGAATGGAGTAAGAGATCTTTGCGTTTTCACCAGAATCCAAATCAGATGCTGACACTGAGTGAAGTATAGATCCGGGTAATCCATTCTCTTTTACATACACATTATAGTAGGGTTGTTTAAAA